CATCTCTTCCTGCATGACTATTCAGGGTCTACTATAAAAGCTCCGGGGGCTCTACAGATTCCAACTTTAACCAGTTGCATCTCTTTAAATGCTTCTGTCGTGGCATCTGTCTCCATTGCATCCCCCCTTCCATCAAGGCTACATGTCTTTGCTATCATGCTATTCTCCTTGCCAGTCTTCCTTTTTGCCTCACTAGTCACATACTGTGTAAAGAATACTCCTTCCGTCTTGTTCTTAGGCTTGTTGGCTTTTGTGAATGTGGTATGCCCTTGTTGGCTTATCCAGATTCAAGAATACAAATTTGAGATTAATGGTCCTTGGGATGAGGCTAACCTGTGTTTTGATATCACGAATTTTTTGTGACCGAGGTGTCCGGACCAGTTTGTGCACCACTCGACTAGTCTCAAAGTTTGAATTCAAGAAGTCAATGAAAGTTACACTTTTTTTACTGCTAGGCCATCCGCTTGAGTTTATCTTAAAAATTATTAAAGGCATTATTTTGTAGATGATTAGCTATTTAAGTTATCTTATTCTAACAATAATATAAATTAAACTGAATCGAACTTGACATAAAACTTTTCATATGCAAGTCAATATTTAATATTTATCCACGGACTGATATATAAGGTGTAGAGGCATAAAAATTGAACAAAAAGTGAATAAAAAATAATTTCTGCACTAAATCTATTAAAAATAAGTAACACTTCTCAAATGGTTGTTAGAATTGATTACAGAGCATTTCAAAACAATAAATACACTAAACACGAGTGCAGTTGTGTTAGAGTTGATTAAATAGTTAATTTGGATATTACAAAAAATATAATTAAAATTAATATAGTTAAAATAGGGTTTATGTTTCTAAAATATTAAACACCCATCAAGTATTATTAATTTTAAAAAACTGTTTTTAGAAATTAATTTTTGAAAAAGTAGGAAACTAACAAGTAAATAAATACACTAAATCTATTAAAAAAATAATTTCTGTACTAAATCTATTAAAAAATAAATAACACTTCTAAAATGGTGGTTAGAATTGATTACAGAGCATTTCAAAACAATAAATACACTAAACACGAGTGAAATTGTGTTAGAGTTGATTAAAGAGCTAATTTGGATATTACAAAAAATATAATTAAAATTAATATAGTTAAAATAGGGTTTATGTTTCTAAATATTAAACACCCATTAAGTATTATTAATTTAAAAAAAATGTTTTTAGAAATTAATTAAAAGTAGGAAACTAACAAGTAAAGCCCTCCATAATGTTTGATATGGTTCATTATCGACTTACATTAATGCACTTGGGGATCCCGCTCGTTGGTGAGCAGGCAGTGGTGAGGGGCGTGACAATAAGCTCAATTAGTGATTAGGTTTAAAATTAATTTGTAAATATTTGGGTCTGGGCTGGTTAGCCCAAATAGGGTTAGGTTTACGGGTGTGCAAAATCGTTTAATCGAATCGGTTTTGCCTTTTTTTCGAACCAAACCGACTTTTCAGTTCACACAAAAAATTGAACCAAAACCGAACCAAAAATGTAATGTTTAATAAACACCCAAGAAGCATATATGTTAAATTCAATTCTCATAGGACCATGCATGAATAGATAAAACAAAAGCTCTAGCTTTGTTCCCCCACTTCAATTATTGAGAAAGAATCAATCAGAACATGCCATGTTAAATTTAGAATTCTTGCATCCAGTATAATGAAAACCATGTATTTTATCAAATGAGTTTAGCAACACATAACTGACGACAATAGTCAATGAGAAAGCCAATGAAATCATCAACTAATGACTTTGACAAACCACCAACCAAATAACAGTCAGGAAATTCTTAGCTGGTAACAAGCAAATTCTATAGGTTATTCGACTCTTAACGTAATAAAAACATAATACTGTTTTGTTTACAACTGAATTATACAACCAGACAAAAATTACACAAAATTCATGTAAAATGACTACTTTATCATTTGTTTTTTGCTTGATTGTATGACTCAGTTGTAAGTATAACATTGCTCACAAAAACATATATCTCATTCCTCCTACCCCCAACTAAAAAAGATAAAAGAAATTGCTCCAACAAAGTAAATTTTTAACTTAGCTTCAAAGCAAGACGAGGCATTAGCAACCACAAAAACAACTCCCAGAATATTAACGTTAAATATGAAGACTGAATATATAAAAAAAAAAAAAAAATTGTTCTGTATTTACTTAACAAGGGCATCCAAGATATATTGACAAAATTCCTAAAATTATACACTCACTGATCCACTTTTTGAGCAAAATGTCTAGAACAGGATAAAAGTACAAAAACTTATAAATATACATCCTCTCATTTATCCTAACAATTAATATACTTGATTTTTAAAATAAATATTTGCATGGTATAAATTTATTAGTTAACTGTATAAATAACAGGGTACTGAATAGAGTCTTTCTACTCCCAGATGCCATTGCCAGGCATTTAACATTTGGGTCATGAAACAGCCAAGCCCAGCCAGAGACAAAAGGTTGCACTCAACTCAAAGATTCCTTTCTTAATAAATTTTCTTCTTCACAAATATTACACAGTAAAAAGAACAAGGAAAGAAAACGTAGGAAGTCCTTCAAGCAAGGGCAATACAACTGTGACAACACAAGACATTACAATAAATACTTGGAACCTATACAATATAACATCCTATGCAAAGGGCAAACAGCACACTAGGGTAAAAATTGCAACAACCCTGAGTTATCATATAAAATTTAACTTATAACCCCAGAAAGTTAGCCTATTACATAACAAATCTATGGAGACAAAAAAAGAGTGGCAGAGCTACTTTTCATCATACAGAATGAAAAGCAAGGTTACAATTATAACGTGCATAATGCCTTCCACCTCGAATTTTATTTCCAAGAAATGCAGAATCAGAGGCATAAGTTGAAACATCTTTATATGACTGCATCCCCATCTATTCCAGTCCGGCATTGGATATACACCTAAGAACAGATCCAAGAAAGGTGGAAGTCTAAAAATACTATAAAGCTCAAAGCTTTTTAGGCCTCACAAAAACCCATTTACAAAGTCTAATGAGTTTAGAGAATTGTCCTGCTGCAAAGACAAGGTGGTCATCTGACAGACCAATGTGTGTCAACAAATTAAACATTGCATTGTGTGCTAACAATGCTGAGCAGTCAGGAAGTCCACATTTTCAGATCAGTTTCATGAAACAGTAAAAAATAGGTTAGAAAAAAAAAAAAAAAAAAAAGATTATATACCTATATTGATAAAGGAATTTTCTTTAAAAATTAAAAATAAGAATATCATTTATGTTTTGTATTCTAAGTTATGTGATATTTACATGACAATGTTTATATCAATTGCCCCATAAATAATATATCTCAGCGACACATTTTAAAAGGTTAGTATGGATTTCATTACTCACAAATTATTACAAATACATATGCACAAGTTAAGTACAAGTACACAGGGAATTAAAAAAAATCAGCCAACAAAGAACATCAAACCAAAATAAAAGATGTATGACGTCCTAAAAGTTGTGCAATAACTGAATGTTTCCTACTGTGGTTCCATAAACTTTTTGTTTCTAGCTCCGAAACAAAAACTGCCAAAGAGCGGATGCAACAACCGGCAAAACAAAATCAAAACAAGGAACAATAATTGTTAAGATGATCCACCATCTATAGTCCTTATTGAAATTCAAACACCCAGAAGAAAGAAAAAATAAGCTTCCGATAATAAGAAATAAGAAAAGCAAAATATTATCAAGGCAAAAAACCAATCCAGAAGCAAACAAACAACATTAACAGATCGGTTGGCAAAGGAATGCAGGAAAGATTACTCACGGTTTTGGTCGGATCTGTGACGCAGGCAGAAGTAGACTATGGCAATGGAGCTGTGTGTTGTTTACCCAAAACTCGAGCCCTAGAGTTCCTGAGCGATGTTGACCTCGCACTTGGCGGAGCAGGCGTTGATCTCTTCGACGCGGTGCGAGGCGGGGTCGGAGAACGGTGCCGAAGCAGACGGCGAGGGAGAAGAAGAGGAAGGTCGGAGAACGGCGTCGAAGCAGACGACGAGAGAGAAGAAGAAGAGGGTTGAATTCAGTATTTAGGTTAAGGAAAGGAGAGGATCGAACAAGAAAAAGGTTTCTGGAGTCGATGGAGAGCGATGGGAGAAAAGAAATAGCCTGACTCGTTTTCTGTTTTTCCAATCCAATTCGATTGAAAACGCTTTTCTTCTTCTTTCACCTCCCTTCTTCAAAACCAAATCTCTCAGTTCTTCTCTCCCATCGCTCTCGCTCCACTCCAAATACCTCCTCTCCCGCTCCTCCGCCACCTCCGCGAAAGTTTCCGAATTCGTCAAGCTCTTCGCCATTGACCTCAACGGCCAGAAATGCAAGAACATTTTCGATTCGATCTGAAATTCTAATCTCTGTTGATTTTAGAGAGTTTTTGAAATTTTGGGTTTTTAATATATATAAATATATATTTTTTATTTTTTATTTTTTTGAATGAAGCAACCTCTTGCCGGCAACAGCTCGTCGAACCCCTGTAATTTGGATTTTACGAATATTTTTTAACAAGAAGCTACCGAACAAGAACCGTAGTTCAGGTCTTTGGACCTACTGGCTCCCCTTGGCCGCCGCGTTTCCGTCGAAACCCTTGCCGGAAAAAGAGTCGCTATGTTAACCTTTTTTGGAAAACCGGTTAATCGGATCGGTTCGGTTCTAAGGTTTTTTTTTTGGTAACCCTATTTAGGTTTACTATTTATATCCATATATTAAGAGAAAGGAGAGGGAATGAATCGCCGTCCCAATATTGTATTGCTGCGTATTTTTGAATATCAAATCTTCTCTATCTTGAGTGCAGGACCTAATTCTTATATTAATAACGAATCAGGGTAAACCCTTTTCTACTTTTTCATTGTGTGTTTTAGCGTTATTTTTCATCACAAAAACCCCTTCCCTTCGTCCAAAAAAAACCTAAGCTTGATCAAAATAAAATGCTGCGTTATCTTTCGTTAGTTTCCGGCCTAAAAACCCCTTCCCTTTGTCCAAAAAAATCTAATCGCAACTCCAAAGCGAAAAATTTGAGCTCGCTCCTTAGTTCAGCCGACAAATCCACCACCAAATTTAGAACTACGCCTTCTTCTCTAACAAAATCTACAGCTAAGCCCTTTTCTCTAACTTCACCGGCCGCCACCACCACCAAGGACCGCCTCTTGAAGCCATTCGTCTCCTCTGTTGATTCTCAAGCTGCATTGCTCGACTCTCCAAAACTCTCAAGCTCTGGTATTTTTTATATTTATTTTAATCAGATTTTTTTTCTTACTGAACCAAAATTAACAGAGGTAATTTTTAGTTGATTTTAGCATGTTTGAGGTTATTTTTCTTTTTTTTTTCTGGGTATAAGTTTAATTGTTTGGTTGCTGAGACAATTGAAGAATAGGGATGGGAGGCAACTTAAATTTAATTTTTTCTTTTTATTTCTTGGTGGTTGGGAACTCAGCAAAGGCTTTGGCAATTTTTTTATAATGATTTTTTTTTTTTCCAGTAAGCCAAACTTTGAATCAGTAAGAGCATCACGAATGCTACTCTTTATTTTGAAGAGTATCTTTCATATAAATAAAGAGTATTTTCATTAATTTTTTAATATAAAGAATACAATTTTTATTTAAATCCATTAGACTCTTTAAATTTAATGAAAATGCTCTTTATTTTTAAGAAAAAGACTTAATGGAAGAGAGAATTAATAAATAAAATACATAAGAACTTATAGTTTATTAATTAAAATTAAGATAGAGAGTAAAATTTGACTCTCTAAATGTGGAGAGTCAAACTCGCTCTCTAATTTATATTTTAAAGATAAAAAGTCTGTTAGACTCTTGTTTTAATGGATAGACTCTTTATAATAAAAAGTTTGGGCCATATAAGAGCATCTCCAATGGTGCTCTTTATTTTGAACAACATCTTTCATATAAATAAAGAGCATCTTCATTCATTTTTAAATATAAAGAACACAATTTTTATTTAAATCTAATACTCTTTAAATTTAATGAAGATGCTTTTTATTTAAAAAAAAAAAAAGACTTAATGAGAGAGGGAATTATTAAATAAAATGTATAGGAACTTGTAGTTTATTAATTAAAATTAGGATAGAGAGTGAAATTTGACTTTCTAAAATGTAGAGAATCAAACTCACTCTTTAATTTATATTTTAAAGATAAATAATATATTGGACTCTTGTTTTTATGGATAAACTCTTTATAATAAAGAGTTTGTGTTATATAAAGAATCCTTTGGAGATGCTACATGTTTAAGTTATTTCTTTCGTTGCTTAGAATTTTGAGAGATGAACCGGATGGCAAATAGAATTGTGGTTTAATGGTTATATTGTTTTGGTTTCTAAGTGGTTAAGCACTCAACTAAGTTTTTTTTTTTTTTTTTTTTTTTTTCAGTGAACTCATTTTCACAATTTTTGCTTGCCATTAGAGTGTACTTAGAAGTAATTAGAGATGGTATCATTTGATTATGATCCACCAAGAGGAGATATTTTTCATATTGCGTTGTTTGTTCGTGTTATTTATGGTGTAATGAATTAGTTGATGCATTTTTTTCTTCCATTTATTTGATTATTGAAAATTTTGGAGTTAAAGAAATGAATTGTTTTGATGTTACAAAATTAACTGAACTCAGAAGTAATTGTGTTAACTCCTTTTTCTTAATTGAATGTGGAGCTTGTTAGCTGTTATTCAAATGTTCTAATTGGTTTCATTTATTCTCTTATTTTGCAGTTGATGCTACGCTTAGTTTGCCCAAGTCAGGAGGGACTAATAATGCTAATGCTTTAGAAACGGTATTAGGGATACCATGGTTTTCTACCGTGTCTAACAACAACATTTCGCAACTTCGAAAAGAAGTCTTGCCTGAGAGGAGACAAAAATGGATTTTCAAAAATACAGAGACTCATCGTTCTGAAAAGTTAGTGAACCTGTGTGCAAATAAACTGGGGACTGATGCTACTCTTAATGAATTTGGTAGATTGGGGCGAGAAACTGGTGTGAAAGAGTACAATTCGTTAATAAGGATCTGCTTTGAGCGGGCTAAGGATTGTGATCATGAAGATGTTGCACTAGAAGAACAAATTTGCAAGGCTTTCCAACTTTTAAATTTTATGAAGGAGCAGGGTTTTCAGCTAGAGGAGGAAACTTATGGTCCACTTCTCATGTATTTAATTGACAAGGGTGTGATAGAAGAGTTTCATTTTTTCCGTAAGGCTATTGAAAGTGGAAATTCTCGTTCGGATCCAAGACTAGGTTACTATCAGATGTTGCTGTGGATCAGAGTCAATGATGAAGAGAAGATTCAGGAACTCTGTAACTGCACTTCAATTGATTATGAGAGAGACTATTTCAACTTGATAGGCACGTGGTTCAATGTAATCTTGACTCTATACCTGTTTCCTGTCAATGAGATTTATTATTTGATTAGTGTTTTGGTTTACCCTTTTGTTTTAATAATTGCCTACTTTGCATTACTGGGCTTACAAGATTCAACCCTTGCATTGCAGAGAATTACTTGTTAGCACTTTTTGAAAGCAAACGGAATAGTGAATTTTTGCAACTTTTGGAGACTGTGGACATAACAAAGGTTTCCTAACTGGACCATGTGATGAGTATTTTTAAATTCTTGGGGAGGCCAGGGTTGGAGTCCTTTGCGGAGAAGTATCTTTTGGCATTAAAAATATCTGGTATGTACATGGTTTTTTCATTTTCCTTGATATGGAAACTTCTTATTAAGCATTTACTAAAGTCTTATTTACACAACCTCTGGATATGTTTGGGGAATTCATATCTGAGTGCAATACAATTTTGTTGCTAGTGTAAGTGACAAAGTTTTAGGGCAAAAACTAAGTGCAGTTGCAAAATAGTAGCGGAATAAGAATCAAGGAGCCTTAAATAAGTTGCTAAGTTAGTATGAATCTAGGCATTGAATCCTGGGCTCTTTTTTACACATTAATGTATTGAATCGGAGAGAGGCATGCCTTGGGTCTTCCAATTTGGGGCAAGTCATTGGTGTTAATTTTTTTATGGGGCTATTGTCCATGCCAAAATCTTTACTTTGCTAGGGACTCTTGCTTTCCAAATCAGAATTGAGGAATATAAAATAGGGATACTAGATTATCTACTAGTTTTACAATACGATCGGTAGAGAACAAGCCATACTTTTCATCATCTATTCATATGGAAATACTAGTGACAATCTTGATTTCTTAAGGAAAGAAGTTATTTGTTTATTAGTTTGCTGTACTTTTTCAAACATTATTCATACTTAATATCTCGATCTTTTAAATTTGTTTCATAACTGTATGTATTCTTTTAATATTATGCAGTTATGTAAAGCTTTAATGATATTTTGGATGATTGACTTTGGGTAGTTCATTATGCAATTAATTGTGCTAATGCACCTATGTTGTATCTTTCATATGTATCCTAAACAATTAAGTTCACTTACCTTGTCGGTGGAATCTGTAATAGAGAATGTGTAGGGTCAGATGGAAGACTAGGAACTTGTTATTAATAAAGCTATCTATGCTTGGCAAAATTGCAGATTATGGAGTAGAGAATGTCTCAAATGTCATCTTTAGCTACACCTCTGGCATTCTAAATTTAAAGGTGAGCTACTTCTTATGAATCCTCCTGGTAATTTTCAAGGGACCATGATCCTATGAGACACCCTTAAGTTCACATGCAGTTTGCTATTTCATTTTAAAAACTTCATTCTACTTTTACTTCATATAAAACTTAGGAAACTCATGAGTTGATAGTTTTCTAGAGGGAAGTTAAAGTAAAACCCTTTGGTGTGCTAAATCAAGTAAACCATAAGTTCTCAAAAGAAATCATATAGCCATGTTTAATTATGGCTTAACTGGTTGGAGTTTTATTTTTCGCATCTTATCTTATTAAGAAATTGTAATTTGTTTCAATTGTGATAGATTCTTTTGAGGAATATATTTTGGTGTGACAGACAAGCCGTAGTGGAGTTTTTTCATTGAAATCTTTCTCTCTTTTTGTGGTTTGTGGATGGTTTCTGTTTCTAAATGCTACATTTGGACCTTTTTCCTGTTGAAATGGCTTGTTTTTTAAGGTAACATTTTGGAAAATGATAATGTTTCTAGACTCTGCCTTACCAGTTCAATTTGCACCATTCCTAAGGAGCAAACACTGTAAGAATCTAATTTTTGTCGACTTTGAAGAGCTTGTACTAGTTCACCATCTTTAGGCAATACTATTTTTGTTTGTAACCTCTTTTATTTTTTTATTTTTTATTTTTTTTGGCTCTCAATCTTATTTATGTTAAAGTTTGGGAAGGTTACTTTACCTGGGACATTTTTGAGGAAGCTAAAGTTTTTTTTTTCGAAGTTGAGAGAGTATCATTTAAACTGATTTTCTCTTATTAAGTATCCATACAATTAGTCAAGTTTTCAGGGTCTCTATTTGTTTATCTATCAGTCATCCATGCAGATCAATACCTGCCCCTCAGTTTTTAGCGGTCATCAATTTGGAAATTGTATTTTCGCATACAAGCTGGGTACTTAGGAGTTACATTGCAAATTTTTATTGTAGCATATTCTTTGCATCTTGTCTGCAATCAATATCTTATTTTATGTTGTATGAGTTATGAATTTTTTGGCATCTAAAAGGCTTTAGTTATATATTAACCTTTTTTTTCTAGTTATGTGACTTTTTTATTGCTTCTATGCATGAGCGGTATTGCCTTAAAAACTGATCAACTTACATGTGTTTTTCATTTTTGTTTTCTTTACATATATTGTTGTAAATTGAAGGTTGAGGATATTATTTCAAAGTTTAGAGACTTGCATGCCAAGCTGGAGATCAAACCTTCTTCTGCCTCCTATGAGAAGCTCATTGCTTATACTTGTGATTTATACAGGGTATGAATCCAATTTCTTTGTAGAAGGAGAAACTGAATAATCAAATGAAAGAGGAAAAGAAAGATGAAAAATTTGAACATAGTTTTTTAGGATTATGATGTCATGTGGATTATTGAAAAAAATGTTTTTCTCTCTCATTTTTTAATCTAATTGTGTTATTATACAGTTTTTGAATTCTAATTGCTATTTATTTGGTAGAAAATTACAGTGAAACTAATATATGTTTGATGCATTTTGAAGGTGTATTTGGCTCTTGATATAGTTGACGAAATGTCTGAAGCTGGATTGACACCATCCATAGAGACACTAAACTCTGTTTTGAATGCTTGTGAGAAGGACTTTACGCATAATTCCGTATGTAGGTTTGACTCTGACCATTTTCTTGTTTGTATTTTTGAGTAGTTGTTATGAATACTTAGACTTCAGGTTGTTAGGACTCACTAGTAATAAGAAACACAATTTTAATTGTTGAATTGCTGACAGTGATTTCAAGAGTCTCTTTATTTGCGATGTATAACGATGATGAACTAATAACAATGTCATACCGGACAATTTCTTTTGTGGTATTTCTGGGTATATTAAAAAAAAAATTCGTGTTTTTGGTCTTCTTTGATATGTGAAATTTTAAATATCCATTTCTAACATATGAACAACCAATTTTTATAGCGCCTCTTATAAAAAGTAAATAAATAAATAAACGAAGGAAGTTGGTATGAAAGTGAATCAACCATGTTTGAAATCAAGTAATCCTAAACTTTAGTTCACCGGAAAGGGTCGTGACTTCTGATACGCAAATAGAATTGTGTGGTTAATGGTCTGTGCTATTTCGGTTTCTGAGCGGTTGACCACTCAACTAAAGTTTTTATTTTTTATTTTTTTATTATTATTATTTTTTTTTTCAGTGAACTCATTTTTCAACCAGCCAGTAATTGGACTGAACTATTATGTTATCATTTGATTATGATCCACCAAAGCTGTATAAAGAGGATATATTTTTTCCATATTGCGTTGTTTGTTCGTGTAATTTATGTATAATGAATAAGTTGTTGCATTTTTTTTCTTCCATTTATTTGATTATTGAAAAATTTGGAGTTAAAAGAAATGAATTGTTTTTATGTTACAAAAATTAACTGAACTCAGAAGTAATTGTGTTAACTCCTTTTTCTTAATTGAATGTGGAGCTTGTTAGTTATTATTCAAATGTTCTAATTGGTTTCATTTATTCTCTTATTTTGCAGTTGATGCTACGCTTAGATCGCCCAAGTCAGGAGGGACTAATAATGCTAATGCTTTAGAAACTGTATTAGGGGTACCATGGTTTTCTACCGTGTCTAACAATAACATTTCACAACTTCGAAAAGAAGTCTTGCCTGAGAGAAGACAAAAATGGATTTTCAAAAATACACAGACTCATCATTCTGAAAAGTTAGCGAACCTGTGTGCAAATAAAGTGGGGAATGATGCTACTCTTAATGAATTTGGTAGATTGGGGCGAGAAACTGGTGTGAAAGAGTACAATTCGTTAATAAGGATCTGCATTGAGCGGGCTAAGGATTGTGATCTTGAAGATGTTGCACTAGAAGAACACATTTGCAAGGCTTTCCTACTTTTCAATTTTATGAAGGAGCAGGGTTTTCAGCTAGAAGAGGAAACTTATGGTCCACTTCTTATTTATTTAATTGACATGGGAATGATAGAAGAGTTTCATTTTTTCCGTAAGGCTATTGAAAGTGGAAATTCTCGTTCGGATCCAAGACTAGGTTACTATGAGATGTTGTTGTGGATCAAAGTCAATGATGAAGAGAAGATTCAGGAACTCTGTAACTGCACTGCAATTGATTATGAGGGAGACTATTGCAACTTGATAGGCATGTGGTTCAATGTCATCTTGACTCTATAATTGTTTCTTGTCAATGAGATTTTTTATTTGATTAGTGTTTTGGTTTACCCTTTTGTTTTAATAATTGCCTACTTTGCATTACTGGGCTTACAAAGTTCAAACTTTGCATTGTAGAGAATTACTTGTTAGCACTTTGTGAAAGCAAACGGAATAGTGAATTTTTGCAACTTTTGGAGACTGTGGACATAACAAAGGTTTCCTCCCTGGACCATGTGATGAGTATTTTTAAATTCTTGGGGAGGCTAGTGTTGGAGTCCTTTGCAGAGAAGTATCTTTTGGCATTAAAAATATCTGGTATGTACATGGTTTTTTCATTTTCCATTATCTGGAAACTTCTTATTAAGCATTTACAAAAGTCTTATTTACACAACCTCTAGATACGTTTGGGGAATTCATATCTGAGTGCAGATACGATTTTGTTACTAGTGTAAGTGACAAAGTTTTAGGGCAAAAACTAATTGCAATTGCAAAAATAGAAGCAGAATAAGAATGAAGTCATTGTTGTTGCTAAGTTGCTAAGTTAGTATGAATCTACGCATTAAATCCTGGGCTCTTTTTTACACATTAATGTATTGAATCGCAGAGAGGCATGCCTTGGGTCTTCCTATTTGGGGCAAGTCATTGGTGTTAATTTTTCTATGGGGCTATTGTCCATGCCAAAATCTTTACTTTGCTAGGGACTCTTGCTTTCCAAATCAGAATTGAGGAATATAAAATAGGGATACTAGATTATCTACCAAAGTTTTACAATACGATCGGTAGAGAACAAGCCATACTTTTCATCAGCTATTCATATGGAAATACTAGTGACAACCTTGATTTCTTGAGCAAAGAAGTTATTTGTTTATTTGTTTGTTGTACTTTTACAAACATTATTAATATTTAATATCATGATCTTCTAAATTTGTTTCATAATTGTATGTATTATTTTAACATTATGCAATTATTTAAAGTTTTAATAATATCATGGATGACTGACTTTGGGTGGTTCATTATGCAATTATTTGTGTTAATGCACCTATGCTGTATCTTTCATATGTATCGTAAACAATTAAGTTCACTTACCTTGTTTGTGGAATCTGTAATAGAGAATGTGTAAGGTCTGATGGAAGACTAGGAACTTGTTATTAATAAAGCTATCCATGCTCGGCAAAATTGCAGAGTATGAAGCAGAGAATGTCTCAAATGTCATCTTTAGCTATACTTTTGGCATTCCAAATTTAGAGGTGAGCAACTTCTCATGAATTCTCCTGCTGATTTTCGAGAGACTATAATCCTATGAGACACCCTTAAGTTCACATGCAGTTTGCTATTTCATTTTAAAAACTTCATATAAAACTTAGGAAACTCATAAGTTGATTGGTTTTTTAGAGGGAGGTTAAAGTAAAACCCCTTTGGTGTGCTAAATCAAGTAAACCCTAAGTTCTCAAAAGAAATCATATAACCACGTTTAATTACAGCTTAATTGGTTGGATTTTTCGTATCTTGTCTTATTAAGAAATTCTAATTTGTTTCAGTTGTGATAGATTCTTCCGAGGAATATATTTTGGTATGACAAACAAGCCATGGTGGAGTTTTTTCATTGAAATCTTTTTCTATTTTTTGTGGTTTGAGGGAGGTTACTGTTTCTAAATGCTACATTTCCTGTTGAAATGGCTTGTTTTTAAGGTGACACTTTGGAAAAAGATAATGTTTCTAGAGTCTGCCTTATCAGTTTAATTTGTACCATTCCTAAGGAGCAAACAATGGAAGAATCTAATTTTTGTCAACTTTGGAGAGCTTGTACTAGTTCACCATCTTTAGGCAAT